TGGGTTTTGTGGTCAGAGGCTGGGGCAAAATGCAGGATGGAGGAGTGAGGAAGGTGTTGTCCAATTGGGTAGGGAGGGAACAAGTGCATTTGTGTTTGGGTAACTGAAAAGGTCTGGCCTGTTCCTGCTTTCCTCTGCTGTCTGGCACCAGTACTGCTCAGCATCCCCACATAAGTGCACCTCCCTGCGGTTGGGCTTTGCAGGCTGGCTCTGTTAGAGCTTTGTGCTGCCTGCCCGACCCCAGCTGGCCATGCTCACCAGCACTTAGAGGTGATGTGCTGCTGGCGGCCCTGTGAGCATGCAAGGGGGTCTGCTGTGAAACTGCCTGTTGTGAGGGGTGCTGGAGAGGAAGCTGCTGTGGAGATAGGAGTTCACTATCTCATACCCTGCCACTATGCAATGGTAGATCTCAAAAGAGACTCTAGGAGGAGGAAGGTTTTCTGGGGGTACTTTATAAAGCCTGGGAAAAATAAGGTGGTGGGAAAGTGTGGCATAGCTTTACATCTGGTGACCTCTCCTTCCAGAAGCCTGCTTTTGAAAAATGTGCTTAAGTATCTCACATTGAGATCTATTGTGAGACTATCACTTGATGGGAGGTCAGAGGTGGGGAAAGGACTATGATACTACTCTGTGCAGCTCCAGCTTCCCCTCTGCTACATGACAAAGGTCCCATCACAGGCTGACCAGCTGCAACCTGCACAGAGAGGAAGGCTGGGAAACTGCAAATGATGGGGTGTGCTGCTTTAGGTACCTGAGGTTACAGCTCTGCGCCAGCAAGTATGGTACTGATGAGAGTATTCAGTATGACAGGGATCCATCTCTCCTGCTGTGTTATCTAGCAGGAGACAGAGGCTCACTGTAGGGCAGCCATCTCCTGATTTAGGAGCATAACTAAGCTGGTCCCTCTGGTATCAGTGAGAAGACCTGAATTAGCAGCTCATCCCTTTAATCCCCTTTGAGAGCACTGAGCTTTCTCATTCAGTGCAAGGAAAGGCTCATTTGGGTTTGTCATCCTCTCTGGTTTATAAACTTGGCTTTTATGAAACTAGCTTTCTCTGTATTTGGGGCTGCCACGCCTGCTCCTTGAGCATGCATCTCATCTTAGGGGGCACTGGGGCACTTCACAGCTCTGGAGCTGGATGCACACCACTGTGCTCACAGTCCCTCATTGTCAGTGCAGTCAGGAGCTAGCAGGGAGCAGCTGGCTATGCTGTGATAGCTTCTCCACAGCTAAGTTGCAGCCCAGCGGAGCTCATGCAAGCAGCAGTGGCAATTTCTTAGGCCAGGACCTCATAATTTACATTTGCATGTATCTATTCACAATCAGTTCTCTGTGGGGAGGTTTCTGTGGCAGAGCAACCACGTGCATATGGAGGAATAAACACAGTCCCACAGCTGCTCAGCTGAAGCAGTCTGTTTCAAGCCATGCTTTATCTCCAGCTCCTGGAGTTGCCAACTGGCAGCCAGGCATCATCAGGGTTTAGTACAGAATTCCCTTGCAAGGGGCTGAATGTCTCATCTCCATTCTGCTGATTAGCACAGCACAGCTCAGACCAAAACCACAACTTTCAGCAGGGCTGAAACAGGCTGCACAGATCCTCCCTGGGGCTGAATCAGCAGCTCTGCAGGGAAGAGCTGTCAGCGGTGGGCTGCAAGCTGGGGGTCTTGCCTCATTTCAGGAGGTTGCCACTGTTATGGAGAAGCTGTGAAGATGCCTTGATGTAGAGCCTTACAGAGGCAGTGCTCAGTCAAGTACCAAATGCACAGCACCCCTGCTCCCTCTTTCTAGATATGCCACTGGCTCACCAGGTGGCTCCAAGCCTTCATTTAAAATGCTTCATGGCTGAGTTTTCTTCTTGGCACAGAGTGCTGCTCTGCTCAGGCTTTAAGAGTTTAAGCAGATCTTGCTGATGTTTGAAATGCTTTTCATTTTTGGCGAAAGGTATTTTGGAAGGAAAAAAGAAAAAAATTGTGTAATCTTTTCCACAGTAGGGCGGTAAACTGAGGACTGAGCCCAAAGAGTGGTAGTGAATGGACTTAAAGACAGGTGGTGGCTGGTCACAAGTGGTGTTCCCCAGAGCTCAGTATTTGGGCCAGTTCTGTTTATTATCTTTATCAATGATCTGGACAAGGGGATCAAGTACACTCTCAGTAAGTTTAAAGAGGACACCAAGCTGGGCAGCAGTGTTAATCTGCTGGAAGGCAGGAAGGCTCTGCAGAGGGATCTGGACAGCATAGATCAATGGGCTGAGGCCAGCTGTGTGAGGTACAAGGGTCAGTGCTGGGTCCTGCACTGGTGTCAAACAACCCCATGCAATGCTACGGTTTTGGGGAAGAGTGGCTGGGAAGCTGCTCAGTGGAAAAGGACCTGGGGGTGTAAGTTGGCATCTGGCTGAGCATGAGCCAGCGTGTGCCCCGCTGGACAAGGTGGCCAATGGCACTGTGGCTTGAATCAGAAATAGTGTGGCCAGCAGGACTAGGGAGGTCATCATCCCCCTGTACTTGGCACCGGTGAGGCTGCACCTCGAACACTGTGTTCAGTTCTGGGCCCCTCACTACAAGACAGACAATGAAGTGCTGGAGACTGTCCAAAGAACTGCAATGAAACTGGTGAAGGGTCTGGAGAACAAGACCTATGAGGAACAGCTGAGGGAAGTGGGGCTGTTTAGCCTGCGGAAAAGGAGGCTCAGGAGAGAAATTATTGCTCTCTACAACTACCTGAAAGAAGTCTGTAGTGATAGGGGTGGTGGTCTCTTCTCCTCAGTAACAAGTGATAAGAGGAAATGTGCCAGGGCACGTTTAAATTGGTTATTACAAAAACTTTCTTCCCCTAAAAGGTTGTCAAGAGTTGGAACAGGCTGCCCGGGGAAGTGGCTGAGTCACCATTCCTGGAGGTATTTAAAAGACATGTAGATGTGGCACTTAGTGACACGATTTAGTGGTGGACTTGGTAGTGTTGGGTTTAACAGTTCTTTTCCAACCAGAACAATTCTGTAATTCTGTAACATACCACACTGAGAAGGGAAAAGTGAGTTCTGAGAAGAGGCAGCTGGTGACCTCTGGAAGCAGCATGGCTTTTCCCTCAGTAATGGGAATGGCCACTTTATCAGCTCTGGTTTTCCTTTTGCAAAACAACTGCATGTTCCCCAAACTCAGTCTTTGCTGCAGAAATGACTTATCCACTTCTAGATTCACTAGAAGGGCTAAAAAGTGGGTTTGGGTGACAACTGTTGAGGGGAGAACATGCTTGCTTCCCACCTTGGGTTTTGCTGGGGTTTGGCTACATTTGCATGCCCTCTTCCCCATCCTCCTGGCCAAACATCATATTCCGCCTATCTCAGAGCCTTTTCTCTTCCTCCTCCACTGGAATGGGGCAGCTAGCACCTGGCCCTAGCTATATTTGCTTTACCCTCTTACATCTTCTGCTTCTTTTGTCAGCTGGACAGACTCTACAACACTTCTTTTTGCAAGTTAACAACATGAAGGACATGAGGTCCTCCTCCAGTGACTGGAGTACGAACAGGACTGGCTCTAGCGTTTGCAGTGTCAAGCTGTAATACTCAGTACAGTGTCTCTAAACCCAGCTTTCTTCCTCAGGAGACTGGATTTACTGGGGCTTTTGGTAGTTGATCCTGTCTGATACTATCCAGTGCCCTCACACTGTTGGTCCAAAGGGGATAAGTCACTTGAAAAATATCACTTATTTTCTTCCTGCAGAATTTGTAAAATCAGCAATGAGCATGAAAGGTGTGTCTATTTCATGTGGATTTGTGTGGCTTAGTATATGAGAGTTGCTTACATGTATTGAGACTCCCAGAGAGAATCAGCAGAGGTAGGCAAAGTTACCATTGTTAATTTAAGAGGGCCAGGATTTACATGTTTGTTGTTTGGTTGTTGTTTTGGTTTTTTTTAATATGTCTAATTTCTTTAACTTTTCCCTCTTTCGGAAACATACCTGCTCTCTGAATTCCTGTGGGGACAGATAACTGAGAGGACTTGACTTACCAGCTGAAGTGTGATCAATTTATTTGTATCAGCACCTTGCAACACTTAAGGGTGGCAGCCTACCACAAATGAATAGCGACGTTTCACTTTCATTAGAGGGATGAACCACTCTTACCAATGTGAATGGCACTTGCTGCTCCTCTGCCACACTGCTCAGCACTGTAGGAGCACTGCTGGTCTGTATTCTTGCAGTCTGGGCTGCTGTGAACAACCCAAATACTCAGACTCTGTAGTGCTTCACGCTCATGTCCAAGAGAACTGTTTATTATGTTTACATAGAGCATGAGCAGCGTGGAAAACACTGAAAATACTGCATCGGTGGTTTAGGGTTTGGACAGCATTGGAAATGGTGATGCAGCTGCTCACATCGTGTCTGAGGTATGCAATATGCCATGAGGAGCCAAAGCTTTGCGCATTCATTTGAGAAGTGCCCACCTCTGGCATATTCACTGCCTGCTCCTCTGGTGCCACAGTTACGCACTTAGCTGTCTGCTTTTCCTCCATTTCACTTGGAACTTGTAATTTTAGTACAAAAGCACAGGTTTTGAAACCAGTCCTGCTAATCCATGAGACTGCTCCCACTCCCTCTCCTCCCTCCTCCTCCCATCCCATCCCAACTCATCCCATCCCCCATGCTCCCACCAACACATACCTCCTTCCCCTCCCTTTCACCCCGGTCACACAGCAAATATCCTGATGCTGCAATTCCAAGCCATGTGTCCGCCCCAGCCTATGCGATCCAATGGTCTCTGACCAAGTCCCTTTGTTCAGAGGTTAATACAAAACACACAATAGGAAAAAAACAAAACAAAAGGAGCCAGACACAAGAGGGAGACACACTGCTGGGCTCTAGCTCTAGCCTCTCAGCTCTTCACCTAAGCTCCACAACAGCTAGGCTCTTGGGCTACCTCCTTTCACACTCAAGGCTGCAGGTCCCAAGGTTTCCAAGGTGCATAGGAAAAGGAAGAAAGGAAGTAAACTACAAGCCTGTTTCTGTTTTAGGTTCTCCCCATCCATATCCCTCAACCCAATGGCTGCTGGAGGATATTCTTGACTCCGACAGGTCTTTTCCCGTCTTCCAGTGAGACCCTGCCTGGGGACCAGGTTCACTGTAAGTCATTGTTTCCTCTCTGGAACATGGGCAATGGGTTTTGCAGTGAGGGGAGGGAGTGGAGGACGTTGTGGGGGGATGACAGGCTTTTGTCTCGCAGCAGGTGGGGGGGACATGTCAGGGAAGGCGCGAGGAAAGAGCCAAAGGAAGCCGGTAAAGCTGGCCCTCTGCTTGGTATTTGTACTCAAGACTTCTTGGGGCAGCTTCAGCGTGCCAGTGCCGGCCTGTTGTCCAGTCACCTCTCGCAACCCTGCTGAGAAAAACCACGTGGCATGGTGCTTCCGGCTGCTTCATCCTCTGGCTGGCTGCCCTCATGCCCGCTGGAGATCTCCGAGTCGCAGTCAAGCGCCTCGTAGATGGTAGGCAGTGTGGTCTGCTGGCTGAGGCGCTTGCGCAGGCCCACAAGCAATGGCTGCGGCATGGAAGAGACGTCCACGTTGTTGCCAAGGTCAACCCAGGCTAGGCAAGGAAATTTGCTCATGTCCTTCATGGTATCAGTCAGCTCCTTCATGGTCGCCCGCGTCAATCGGTTGCCATTGAGGGAAAGATGAGTGAGCTTGGGTAGTGCCCAGAGGAAGGGCAGCAGCAGGCGCACCATGTCATCATTCAGCTCGGTGAAGCTCAGGTCCACAGAGGTGAGGTGGTCCCCATTGTTCTGCAGGTAGTAGGCCATGCGGTGGACATCCCGCATGGTCAGGGGGATCCCTGACAAATCCATGGAGTCCTGGCTCACCTTCTTCTGTAGGCTGGTCTTCAGGCTAATGGTGGAAAGGGGGAGAGACAGAGAGATCATTAATGAGAACACTCTCATCCATCTCTCACCCAGGGGAGAGAGCACTTGGGACAGGGGGAACTCATTAAGAACATGGGCTAGAAAATTAAGCAAAGGTTTAATGGAGTTCATTGGAGAAACAGGTGCAAGGTTTGTACCATGCCTCAGGGCAGACTGTGTCCTGGGGCTTTCCTGTATATTCTCAGCACTTAACACATAAACTTTGCCAGAACTGGCTAAACACAGGATGCTAAAGAGTCTCCCACTGGCACATTTCAATGGGCATGTATGCACATGTCCAGATGCTCATGCATAGAAAGCAGAGATAACCAAGGCAAGCAAACTTTCGAGGTGCACTGGTCTGCACTGTGTGGGGGCTGTTTGTGCACCACCTCTCCAGGTAAATGCCAAAGTCTGTGGCAAATAGACTGTGCTGCAGGGCTACTGTAGAGGACAGCAGTGTTAACAGGCTGAGAAATGAGTATTTTATCAGGAAAACAATCTATAGGCAAACTGCACTCCAGGAGTGGATTTACTGTATGTCCCTTTAAAAGCCTTCCTAAACAGCACTTAGTCATTAAGCAGCACCAGTGGCTGCCTATTTGGGTCTCTGTGGTCAGCAAATCATCTGAGATCTGCTGCAGCTGTGAGGACATAGGGGTGCTAAAAGAAATCTAGAGAGAGGGGTTTAGCCATTTATTCTGTTGTCTGCCTGGCAAAGTGGAGTGAGGATGAGGTAGGTAAGATGTGCACGAGGCAAAGGTGTGCTGTGGGACTGTGTATACAAGGGGAGTGGGATGTGGAGTTTTATGATGGACTGTGGGATTGTGAGAGTGCTGTGGAAAGTGGAAGCTGTGGAGCCATAGGAGCTGGTGGGGATACGCTGCAGGAGAACCTAATGTCTTGGTGCAAATGATTCTAGTTTTGCTCTCTTTTCAGGCAGATCTAGCTTTAAGGTTATGGGAGCCTCATTAGGACCTTCCGTTAATCAGTGTCACTAATCATGTGCTCAGTGGGGTTTGTAAGTGCCTTGTTGAGCCTGGGAGGAGCAGGGTGGGTTAAGAATTAACCACCAATTTGAAGGTCCCCACTCTTCCTATCTGGCTCTCCGTAGTGTCCTGCACACCCGTGGCACAGCCAGTCCCTGAAAGCAATGGGTACACGGGGACATGCAATTTCCTCGGAGGAGGCTGCAGCACCGCAGGAGCTCCTGTGGCAGGTGAGAATGTCCCTACAAGCCCTAGTGTTGCCAGGCCCTGCTGTAGTTGTGAGAGGATGTGACAATGCTTCTATAGCTTTGCTTTACACATGCAGTTCATGGCATCCTGCAAATCTGAGTCCTTAATAATCCCCTATGAGCATGTCACACAAGTGAGTAAATGTGCGTCAGTGCAGGCAACAGCCCTTTGTGGACACATTCAACAATGGCAAACCTGTAGCTGTGCTTCCTTGTAGGAGTGTGAGGTCAAAGACCTCGTGGCCTGTCCTGTCAATTCTCAAGCCAAAAAATACCTATCCTGGGTTCAGCAGCACTTTGTTCAAGCTGCTTCTGTATGCCCTTATGCTTCTCATAGGAATTCAGTGTGCAAGGCTCAGGCTGTATCTGCAAACTTGCATTTGAGTTAATGAGCTTTAATTGTAGAGAGGTAGTAACAATATGAAATAACTTACATTCAGGCCTAAAGGTTTAAAAGAGCCTTATACATTACTTACTAAATGCTTACACTTTACGTAACCCAGACTCCATCTCAGTAAATCACAGGAGGGGCAAGGGGAGCAGTGCTTGTCTGTGCTGTACAGCAAAGACTGATATACTGGTGAAATATTAATCTGAAATCACACAAATTCGTTCTCCAAAGGGCCTTCATTTGGAGATGGTACTTGATACCTCTCCAGTATCAGGGCCCCAGAGACAGGATTGTGAAGAATATTATTGCAGCAGTGCAGTTCTCTTAGCTGCTGCCATAAGAGCAGGAGTTGTGAACTGTGCATACTGCAGTCTGGAAGGCACTAGACTAGCCTCCCTGTTCCTGCTACATCAAGGGATGCTTGATATCAGCCTAGGCTGCCTTGGAGCTGTATTTTGTCAACTCTCCTGGTAAATAAATGTGCGCTTTTTTGGTATAGTTTGTCACCAGAGACTAGCAGTGGTGTGGCACAATCTACCACAAAAGAGGATTCAAACTGTATGAATTCTATCAGGGACTGTCCTCAGAGCTGGAAGTCTTCAGTCTCCCCTGGAAAAATGTTATCCCTTTAGCTGTTCTAGGTGTTTTATCTGGGTGTTTGATGTGGAGTACTTCTAGCAAAACCAAACATCAAATGCACAGTGGAGATGTGCATTCATACTGGTGAAAGTAAGCAGGAAGAAATGAATCTTGATGTAAGCCTGACTGCACAGGGGATATAGTCCCCTCTATCCAGTAGGGGCTGGTGCAGAAGGTGAGATGGAAGCCTTCTCTTGCCTGTAGAGTAAGACTTTTTTGGAGGTCTGGGGGAATACAGGATAACAAGTATAGAGGCAAGCCTGCAATGACTTCAGTGCCTGTTTTGTGCAAACACAGCCTATGGCTCCTGGAATTTCTCTGCCCCAGTGCTGTCAACCATTGGCAGATCCTGGGTGGGGGGAGCACACAAAGGAGACATAAACATAGGGCTCCTCCAGCCCCAAGCCTTGTCTGAGTCTGTGCAAAGCCTCATCTAACCTTCCTATTGCAAAGCTGCAAGGAAAAAGCCTTAGTGCTCCCAGTTTGGTATGGGGATGGGAACCAGGCTGGAGTGGGGACCACTGGAGGGCACGTCTGAGCCAGCACCGCTCCCTCTGCCGGGCCTCAGCATTCAGGTGCCGGTTTTCGTGCTGCGTGTGCAGCTGCAGCTTTCTTAACAGGGGGCAAGTTTGAATGGCTCTTGGGGTCCCATTTTGAGTGACTTGGCTCTGAATGCAGACAGTGATACGTGAGGAGAAATGTCAGAAGGACAAAAGCAATGTGCTTGTCTGTCTCTGCCTGTTAAGCCTCCCCCTCCTGTTGGCTGCTATGCAGACACTGCAGTAGTAAATCATGTATCGTGCTCTGACCAGAGCAGGTACCTCTTGCTGCTCTCTCCAGCAAGAAGCCAATACCCCAGGGAGGCTTAAATCAAGCAGACAAATTATCTTCCCATAACTGATTCTCCAGACTGGACTGTTCCTGGCTGAATGTGTTTAAACCCTCCTGTCCTGTGCCAGAGCCCGCCCTCTCTCCTTTGCTGGCTCGTTTTTCTTTCCTTTCCTGTGCTTTTGCTGCTTCCTTTTGCCCTCATTGCTGTACCTGCCAGGGTGACTCTGGGCCTCCTGTCTCAGCACTGTAGGCTCCTTCTGTGTTTAAGTTATTCTCTTGCCTGTAAAAATGCCTCTTGTAGGGATGTGTCTGTAGAAGCCTCGTCCTGGTGAACATAGCCCCTAATCCTGCAGCCAGGCCCTCAGCTCTCTGGTAAGTGCTGAAGCATGAGATCTGATGCCCCATGCATGCTAGCTCTTCTCACCTCCTTGGTGGTTACGTGCAGCTCCAAGAGGTGCAGCTAAATACTATCTCTAGGTCAGGGCACAGAATAGCTGCCCACTCATTCTCCTCTATTGCTTTAGAGGTAGATATATCTGCTGTCAGAAAAGGGACAGGGAGAAGTGGGTAGAAGCTTTACTCTGAATTATCTGTCACTTAGTATTTTTTTGGAGCTCTGTTAAGCTCTGTTTCTCAGGGGAGAAGGGAGGTGGGAGGGTGCACAACACAGGACACCAGTATCAGACACTTCTGCAGCAGCTAAGAGAATGCCAGGTTTACTTCCAGGGAAATGGATCCTCTATTGTCCCCTAACTACTGCATGTGAAGTAGGCTTAAAGACTGCTTCAGCTGCAGAAGCTTTTTTTCCTGTGTGGGACAAGGTAGCTACTTAGGACATGGGTCTTGATGCCTATGGGACTTGTGGACAGAGGACTGCAAAGTACTGGAGGCTGGATGCCAGCAACTTAATGCTACTGCAGCTGGTGCTGTGTGCAGATTTATAATTGTGGGGATTTGCATCTGACAAGGATCTGAACCCTGGCTGCAGGGAAGCAGACTGTGTTGTATTATCTGCAACAAGCTCAGAGAGGAAACAAACCCCCTACTCCCTCAGATTCTGGAGAAATGGCTGCAAATGAGAAATTCTGTGAAACTTTAAGCAAGGATAATCAGCAACCTGCCCCCTCCTGCCTGCCTGCAGCTAGATGAAGCATCCACTGAGGGATAGTGCCTGCCCACCCTCCTGGTTGCAACCCTGGTCCAGCACTGCTGAGGGATGGGAGCCCTTCTTGGTGTACATCTCCTTGTTTCTCTTGTGAAACAAGTTTTTTCTTGTGTTGTTCCCAACTCCCTTCTTGGGATCTGGTCTTTCTCCCACTGACAGGCCAGCAGCCTTCCTTTCACCCTTCCTTAGGTGCCAAGTCTACCGTTCAGCAGTCCCCAGGCTGCACCACGAGCCTGGCCGTGTAAGATCCACCCAGGACCAGCCCAGAGAGCAAGGGTTCTGAGGGACCTGCACATGTCAGAATAAAGCTTGCCTTCCTTTGGTTGGAAACAGGAAAGGAATGAAACAATCTTGTGCCTCCATTGGCTTTTTTTCTGGGGTATAAATCTTCTCTCCACATAAGGATCAGTCATTGTTCCTTTCTCCTGGGAACTCAGCTAAAATAAGCAAATTCAGAGCTGTCTTGAGATGAAATAATGAGGAGACCTGAAATTAGTTGCTAGTCATTTGTTTCCAGGACCTGCCCTAAGGGACTTAACCCTTAGGCCCTCTTCCAAGTCCTTCTTTGAGTCCAGGAAGCTGAGGACTCGGCACTTGTATTTGTTTATTAGCACTGAATCCCTTCAATGGCTTGCTCATCAGCCAAATTCTTTGGTGGCTACAGGGAAGGGGTGGAACAGCTCCTGACCATTGCTCTGATGGGATTTGCCAAGCACTGCAGTGGCCGCTGCCTCTTTTTGGCTTTGTGGGATTTGGAAGAGCGTGTTCAGGCCAAGGATGTTCAGATTTGTGGAGTCCCAGCCTCACTTCCTTGTCTCCATGCTGTGGTGGGATGCTAGGAGGAAATGTTGAGTCAGACTGGATTTCAGTAATGAGGGATGTCCAGAATTCCTTGCCTGTCTCTGGGGAATTACCAGCCCTCTCCTCCTCCTATTTTTGATTTGCCTCCAAATGTAGAATTTTCTGTTGCCAGAGACTGCCATCACTGAGAATCTCCATCTTCATTAACAGGCACTGCCAGTAGTGGCTAATTAGCCATGAGTCTGGTATGTCTTGGCTGCAATTCCTTGCATAGAATCTAGTGACAGACATGTCTGGATGGCTCCTCTGCTTTGAGCAGTGATTTAGGGGATGGACTCTGGGCTTTTTAATCACCTACTTAGCATAATCTGCTTGCTTTGCTTCTCTGTGGTACAGGGTGTTGCTGTGCATGGTTAGCTTTAGCTGCTTCTAGTGAGACATGAAAAAGGAAAGTGAAGTCTCAAAAGCACTGACCTAGACTAACCCAGCCTGAGCTGGTGAGGCTGGGCCCAGCACCTCTGTGAAGATGGAGACAGTGCACATATAGGCCACCTCCATGAGCATTTCATGAGAAGGGACTTCCTCAATCACATCTCCATTCTTGCCCCCAAGCTCTTTTGATCAACTGTGGGAAATCCCTCACTGTGGAGAGCAGGGAGTGCAAAGGCAGCCTTTTTCCTACCACCCTCCCTCTGCAGTTGGGGTGGGACATGGGTACCTGTAGGTGTTGATACAGCTGAACACCTCTCTTCTTCCTTGCTCTGCTGTCATCTTCACTCTGTCCTTGAAGGTGTGTTCAAGAGAGCTGTGAACCCTTGGCCTCCCTCCTGCTGCCATGTGATCCATCCAAGACCTCTGGTTGTTTCTCCTCTTTTTTTAGGTCTGTCCTAGCAACACAGCAAATAATGCTGCCTCCTCACTGTAAATGTCTTATATTGGCCTATGTCTTTGTCAGATCTTCAACTGTGTAAGAGTCATGAAGGCACAAGGTCTCTGCTGATTCCTTTTAACTGCCATCTGCCCACCAGCCTCCATTGCTTCACTCATTGTCTCTCTTTCTGTCAGATTGTCCTGCAGCTTCTGCTTGCCAGCCTTGGACTTTCTCTTCTGACCTGTGACAGGGCAGTGTCAAGCTGCTGGATGACCCTTTCTACC